TTATGCATTTTTGAATTTAACGGGTTATGACTACTGGTTTATTTCTTTTGTAGTATTAACTGGCCCCATCGATGCAGTGGAGGTGCGATGAGAGTGCCCACTGCACGTATATACATACATAGATGTCAAGGAAAATTCCTCAAACCCCGATTTGGTCTCAAAAGGGTTAGTTTATATAACCCAAAAACACTACTCTGCATCCAATACTCATGGCAAACAAAAAACAAATGTGGCAAGGATCTAAAATACCCTCTCCGTTCCCCTTTCTCAGACCAAAATTTGGCCCCATTCAAGAAATTAAAGGCATAATGTGCTCGTAAGGTCCCGGACTTTCAGCACATTATGGCTTTAGGAAAACACTCAATAATATTTTTGTGCTCACATTAAAGACTATTTAAAAGATAGTAATTAGTACATATTTTAATTTAACATACCATATAATATATTTATCAAAAGATTATTATTTTTTAGACTGAAATTAAAGGCATAATGTGCTCATAAGGTCCCGGACTTTCAGCACATTATGGCTTTAGGAAAACACTCAATAATATTTTTGTGCGCACATTAAAGACTATTTAAAAGAGAGTAATTAGTACATATTTTAATTTAACATACCATATAATATATTTATCAAAAGATTATTATTTTTTAATATAAAATTAAAATACACAAATTTGAACATACTACTATACATACAAAATACTTAAACCGATTAAATTGATTGTATTTATATTATATTTTAATAATTAAATCAAAACAAGTATTAAAAAATATATTAAACCGAATGTATGTCAATCATTTTCCTATTAATATGAACATTAATTGATATATACTCTTATTCATACTATTATTAGAGAACTTAATTGATATTAAGATGTCAAATTATTTTTGAGTCATAATATGTCACATAAACCTAACTTATAAAAATGACAGTTACAATCTAGTGGATCTAACTCTTGGGGATAACATGATATGAGAGCCCTATGGGTTAGCTTAATATTTGCTAGTGTTAAGGACGTAATTGCTTGATTTGAAAGGTTGATGACACATTTACAAATGACTTTAAAGGTTGAGGACGCAAACAACATCTAAAACCAAAAAACGTAACAATGTGGGACTGAATTAGAGGGCATGAAATCCTGGAAAGTGTAGTTATAGATCCCGCGGGAGTTTGTTAGAGTTCTCACATGATCCACGAATATCCTGCTTCACTTTCCATCGATGGCGACAACTCTCTTCTCTTCTCCCTTTTCCCCGTTCTAACCCTCTCACTGCCACATATTTACACTTATGCGATTACCACTTTTTTTTTTTTTAATTTCTATCCCCTTAGTAAATTATTACTAATATCAATGGATGTTTCAAGACCAATCCCTCATTGTGCTCTGTGCTTTCTTGTTCCTTTTTTACACATTTTCACATTTCAATCACTAAAAAATTATAAATTAATCTCTTTTCTAAAAAAATTATTATCCATAAATAATTTTTTTTTAAAAGTCTTTAGACTAATTAAATTTGTAACATCTTAGCTATGAAATTAGAAGATCTACAGCCAAATTAACTTTAAAAAAAAAAAAAGAAACTCTTTTATTACAAAAACAAACTCTTTATTTGATAATTAAAATTTTAAAATTTAATACAATCTAAATGTATCACTAAATAATATTTCTTAAATAAAAATTTTGACAATAAAAAATTAAATAGCCAAAGATTTTTTTTAACAAAATTAAATTAAAAAAAAAAAAGGAGAGAAATGGAGACAACTTGATCTTGAATTCAATGAAAACTCCTATACAAGAAGTTACCACTATTCTACGCAAGAATTCTAAAAAGATTGTACACTCACTTGTTTTATCATATCATGTAGCATGTGCTAACTTAACTTGATTATGTTTGGACCTTTCTTTTTGTGGTTAGGTACCTCTTGTTAGTTGACCGATAGATTATTAAGATAATTTAAATCAAGGGTTTTGAGATTTTTTTTTTTTTTGAGCTTTTTTTTGTGTCATGTTCCCTAAAATGGAATCAAAACTGAAGAGCTAATTGATGGAATTAATAAATTAATAAACAAAAAGACAATAACTTTCCCGACATGGTCAGTCATCTTACGTTCCAACCCATAATTCGTTTCTCTTAGAAGTACACACGTTTTTCCATTGCCTATTTTCTAAAATAGAAGTACACACATTTTCAGCGAAACGACAAAGCCCACTTGCGTGTCGACAAGGTTGTTAAAATATTCAACACCCAAGGGCATGTCCGTCAAACTAAAAAGTAAATAAATTAAATTAAAATCCCGGAAATAAATATAAATATAGCATCGGGCGCTTTTCCTCCTCCAGCGTTCCCATTTTGCGTGCGCGACTTTCTGCATACAAGATCCCCGCACGTGTGATCGATGGAACAAAACCACGCGCCGCCGCAGGGTTTGACGCCGGAGGAGTACGTGGTGCTCAGGCCCGTCATGGAAACGTATCATAAATTTGAGCCAGCGCCCAACACGTGCACCTCGCTCATAACACAGCGCATCGACGCGCCGGTGGATGCGGTGTGGCCGTTTGTCCGAAGCTTCGAGAACCCACAGAGGTACAAGCACTTCATCAAGAGCTGTAACATGAGGGGTGAAGGAGGGGTTGGCAGCATACGGGAGGTCACTGTTGTGTCGGGGCTTCCGGCGTCGACAAGCACAGAGAGGCTGGAGATTTTGGACGACGAGAAGCATATACTGAGCTTCAGGGTGGTCGGAGGCGAGCACCGTCTGAATAACTATAGGTCGGTTACTTCGGTGAATGAGTTCAGAAAAGATGGGAGAGTTTATACCATTGTTTTGGAGTCGTATATCGTGGATATACCGGAAGGCAATACCGTAGAAGATACAAAGATGTTCGCGGATACGGTTGTGAATTTGAATCTACAGAAGCTAGGCGTGGTAGCCATAAGCTCTATGCATGGCAATGAATGAGGTGGCGGAGTTGGTGGTGGTGGTAGCGACGGTGGCGGCTGGTGGGTGAGATTCGGTTATTTAGAAAGAAAAAAATTTATCAGTGCTAGATTTTATTCTTTGTTTTCTGCTTATTAGTTTTAATTATAAGACAGCTTGGGATAATTTGATTCGTAGGTATATCTTGTTATTTTTGTTGGGTTCAATATCTCAGTACTACTTGTATTGTTTTCTCTTTTCATCATTATTTAACTATATTGTTTTTTTCTTCTTTAGCTCACAATTTATTATTTATTTTAGTAATATTTTGCTCAGCAAATAAGAGTTTAAGGGTGGCAGTACCAGTAATTGAAAAACTTTAGTTTAGAGTTAATGATAGAGATTCAAATATTTGTAATTTTAAATAACTAATTTTTGATATATTGTAATATGCATGAATGAATATTAATAAGTAATTTTTGACAATTTAAATAATTTATTAGTAATTTTTTCCCAATGAAAATAAAAGGTTTAAATTTGAATTGTATAATATATAGATAGGATGAGATTAATGAATAAAAGAAAATTGCCTCTATTATATAATTCAAGATTAAAATGTGTAATTATAATAGAAAAAGACATATCTACGTTTATTTCCTGCCTCTTAATTTTTAAGAAAAAAATCATTTTAAAATTAAGTTATTTGAATAAATTT